CTCATTTCTAAAGGTGAGATCAATAGAAAGCATTCATTCCGGTTCACATTCAGCATATGGCTCTTCCTTCCAATAAAACCAAGTCTCGTATTTGTCATAGGAGATCAAGTCTTCCATACGCACAATTTCATTGACCTTGCTGAGCCACAGGTGGGTTTTATCCTGGTCTTCATTTTTTTTAAAAACATGTCCTACACGTGTAATACAATGAGCGGCAAGTGGCACTTCCTAGTCGCTCTCATTTCTGGAGGTGAGATCAAAAGCAAGTATTTATTCCAGTTCAGATTCAGCATCTGGCTCTTCCTCCCAATAAAACCAAGTCTTGTATCTTGCGTACCTTTATCATATGAGATCAATTCACAAAGCTTTACACAAGGAGAAGTATCTTTCTTTTTTTTTTAGTCATGTAATTGTCATTTTCAAATCTCATTGAACTAGGCTGAAAATAACTGACACTTTTTCAAAAATGCGTGTAGATATCTTGGTGTTTTAGCTTTGTGAATTTAGCCTTATGTCTTCAATATGCTCAATTTCATTGACCTTGCTAAGACATAGTGGCACCGAGAGGGGTTTCCTCCTGGTGTTCTTTTGTTTAAAACATCACCTACAAGTGTAGTACCGTGAGTGGGAAGTGGCACTTCCTAGTCACTCTCATTTCTGGAGCTGAGATCAATAGAAAGTATTAATTCCGGTTCACATTCAGCATCTGGCTCTTCCTTCCAATAAAGCCAAGTCTTGTTGTATTTGTCATGTGTACCTTTATCATATGAGCTCACAGGCTGAATTCACAAAGCTTTACACAAGGAGAAGTATCTTTATTTTTAGTCATGTGATTGTCATTTTCAAATCTCATTGGACTAGGGTGAAAAATAACTGTCACTTTTTCAGAAATAAGCGTTGTTATATTGGTGTTTTAGCTTTGTGAATGGATCTTTATGTCTTCAATACGCTCAGTTTCATTGACCTTGCTGAGCCACAGTGGCACCGAGGGGGGTTTCCTCCTGGTGCTCATTTTTTTTAAAACATCACCTACAAGTGTAGTACAATGAGTGGGAAGTGGCACTTCCTAGTCGCTCTCATTTCTAAAGGTGAGAACAATACAAAGTATTCATCCCGTTTCGGATTCAGCATCTGGCTCTTAAGATTGCACTTCGCTCCTGCAAACAGATCCATAGTACAGGAGGAGGAATTCACCTCCGGCGTTCGGCAAAGCAGGTGCAAGCTCATCTGCATTCCTTTTCCCTTTCCTCCATTTACATCTGTTGTGTCTTTGATCCGCTACATCAGTTTTGTGACATTGCTGCAATAAAATGACGTAGCGCTCGTGAAAGGTTACATTTCCTTGAAAAGTGAGTCAAGTCAGACAACATGGAGGAGCTTCAGAATGCTAAAGTATCCCCTCGAGGACATGAGAAGGATAATAAATGCGCCCGTGTTGCAAATGTGCATCTGTTATTGTTTTGCATTGAAGCCTGCAAAGCATTGCAACTGTGATCAGTGGATCGGAGGTGCAATGCTCAGGTTCCTGCAGATTCTTCTTCCACCTCCAGGTCTGTACGGAGGTGAGGACATTCGGTTATTCGGCTGGAGGAAGTTATCAATGGACCACAAGTGCGGTGACATCACTTGCCATCTGGAAAGATCTCTCTTAGCTTCCTGTCCTGTAGACACAACAGGAAGTCTCTCTTCCTCATTGGAAGATTTCCCCTCTATTCCTGATCTGGTGACAACTCACAATTTTTGGCTGTTCCTCATTTTCAGTCCCGGTCACAGTGGTCAGCGGGAGTCACGGAGAAGGTGAACTTCTCCAGCAGCTATAAAAACTTAAGAGGGGTTCTAACCCTTATATTTAAGAGTAAAGCTGAACTCCGGCCTTCCCGTCAGTCTTGCTCCATCAGTTGTACCGGCTTCTCTCCTGGACTGAAATGGCTTACTCTGATTTCATTGCACATCGTCTCATAATGTGCAATAGAAGCTGCAGCAAGTCAGATAGAACCCGCCTCATTTCCTGGCTGGAGGATGTCCAGCATCATCTAGCGCTTTTCTGCCCAGCCTTACTGTCATTGGTCCGCCACTTCCATTAATTGGATTTCAGTTCTTCCAATCAAGGAGGCTCAGCATCACATGTGAATGTTACCTAAGGAGGTCTACATGCAAATGCAGCCTGTCCAGAAACACCCACTACTCCAGACTGACACACAGCCGTCAAAGCATTTTGATATTTGCATAACTCCTCCCAAGAGCCAGCCCACTGCTTGCATAAGGGCTCTTTAGAGGAGTGCAGGAGCAGGGTGCAGTGATGTATTCAGGAAGCTATGTACAGAACCCTGCCAGCCCCTCACGCCAGCCATGATCTGCCTGCATTGCAGAAGAGAAGCACAGGCGCTGACATAAAATATGTAATGAAAACAGAAAGGTGTTATTTCAGAAATCCATTAGCATATATTAAAGGGGGAAAGGAAGAACCATGGAAGGAAAAAAATATAAGTGCATTAAATGTCAGCTTTAAATACATGCCATGTAAATTCTATGGAGATTTTAGTGCTTGGATTTCGATATACCTTGATTGCAGAACATTGATGTTTTAGCACAGTGTACCTTTAAGAATGCAATTCCCCCCACCCCCCTCCATTTACATCCCCAATGTCTTTCCATGCTACATCAGTTCTGTGATATTACCTCTGTACTGTGTGGTTATGTAGCGCTTACCTATGATTTTAAGAGAACCTGTCAGAAGTACAGAACTGCCTGTGCTGACCTGTTTTTAAAGGTGCAGGCTCCATCTTTGTCATCCAGAACCCGGCTTCGCCACTTGGCGGGTCACTAACCTGGAAAGAGCATGCAGGACATGAAGTTAGAATCTTTGGACTTCATTGGCTTGTTCCAGGTTGGTGACTTACTTGGCAGCAAAGACATTCCTGGAGCCTACGCCATACAGGTTCCCTTTAAGAAGGGTGACCAAGACCGATGACCAACAATTTTGACAGGATTTTTAAACCAGCTTTATGAAATTAAGTGACAATGTGCCTTAAGCTACCTATAGGAGCAGGGATGGGGAACTCTGGCCCTCCAGCTGTTGTGGGACTACAGGTCCCATGAGGCATTGCAAGACTGACAGTTACAGGCATGATTTCCAGACGCAGAAGCATGATGGGATTTGTAGTTAAAGCACAGGCCACAGTTGCCCACCCCTGTTTAAGAGTTACCTTCATCTTAGCAACTCCATCCAAAACTTCTTCTTGGTTTGGATAGAATGTAAAAAATTAAAACCTCGGGCTGGATTTTACTGCTGCTTGTGACCCCGGTGGGGGGAATCGCCCTCACTTGATGACTATTTTCAGTGGAGGGAAATCTAACATTTTACTGTTGTCACTGGAGCAGGAGGAGAGGGTGAACCTTCCAATCGTGGATGTGGGAGGGCGGTGAGCGTGAGGCGGGCAGGAGGTGCAACGTGTGGAGCGTGGATGCGGGCGGGTCTGGCAGCGGCGAGCGTGAGGTGCGGCGCGTGAACAGGGCCAACTAACCAGAAGCCGATTAATCGATGATTGAAAAAGTTGACAACTTTTTCAACCATCGATTATAATCGATTATGTCGATTAGTTGTTGCAGCCCTACTTCCTACGGGGACCCCCATTCCAGGGGACCAGCTGTCAAAGGTGAGATTTCTCCTTACTTAGGGGAGATTTCTTCTCACTACCTGTTGTCTCGTCCAGACTGTAAGGCCTCAAACACACAGCGTACAGTCGGGCCGTACAGATACGTGCGGCATGCAGGGCCGTATCGGCCCGTTCCCGTGAGGGACAGGTGCTGCGTGTGATTGTACACAGCAGCCTGTTGTTCCCTATGGTAGAAACACATGGGTCAGTGCAAATCCATTTAATGATATATATTACTCGGAAAATCAAGCGTTTTCAGGGCCACACAGGGTCCCCTTCATCAGGCTCAGAGTCTACTGCGTCTGAGTACGGACACCCGCACGGATGTACAGCTCAGGTGAGCGTACGGCCGCATACTCCTATAGAGAAGAACAGGCTGCTGCGTGCACACACAGCACCTGTCCCTTCCGGCGACGGCCTGATATGGCCGTGCACGCCACACAGAACTGTACGGTCCGACTCTGAGCTGTGTGATTGAGGCCTAAGTATTGGGAAGTCTCCCCAGCATAGACACAGACAGCAGTACCTAACAGAGGTTCTAACCCCTCACTATTAAAAACTGGAGTTCTTCAAGGAATATGTGATTATTTTTTTAGTTTAATGTCCATCCTGCTTAGCTTATCTCTGTAATACATGCACATTTCCGGATGGTTTACCCCTTGGCAAACACTGCAAGTACAGAACAAAATATTGTGTTCATCTACCAGTAATCCTATGATCTTCATCTCTATGGCACAGGAGGGATGTGTTTCTGTAGTCCAGCAGAGGAGAACTCAGACAGGGCCCATTTGGATGACGTTAATGCATCTTCTGTAAACTTTGAGAATGAATTGCTCCACAGTACCCACAGCTCTATAGGGTTTGTTTTAAAGCCCATTTACTTCTTGTTAAAGGAGAAATATTGGGAGAGTAAAATTAGTCAAATGAACTCTTCCCAGTACTTAGAGCCGGGGTGAGACACTGCAGCCGTCACACTATAGATTGAGGGTGATTTTTTTCACAGCAGGGAGTGGTGACTGTCACACACATGGATTTTGCCCTCCCCTCTCTCTATTCCTCCAGTGCTCATTGGAGGAACAGACAGGGTAGGGGGCGGGCACAGCTGGCTCTGGCTGTAGAGAGGCAGAACCAGCTGTCAATCAGGCAGCAGGGTGCATCCTGACAATATTGTTGGGATCCTTCCAGGCTGCACTGTCAGCATATAGCATATGATACATTTAAATGAAGGTTTTTGTGTCCGTAGTTCAGCTTGTCTTCCTTCATGACCTAGTAATGAAGGACACCAACAGTAAAGACTTTTAAAGTTCTTTGAATATTAAATACTTTCTTTCTTTATCTCTTCAGTGCAGTGCCTGGAGATGACGACCAAGCGGAAGATCATCGGCCGGCTCGTACCATGCAGATGTTTTCGGGGGGAGGAGGAGATAATATCGGTGTTGGATTACTCCCACTGCAGCCTGCAGCAGGTGCCAAAAGAGGTCTTCAGTTTAGAAAGGACATTGGAGGAGCTCTATCTGGATGCTAATCAAATAGAAGAATTACCCAAGGTAAGTCATGGGGTTTCTATCAACGCTACGTTTTGGAAACAAAGTTAAAATATCTTTGTGTTTATGACCCTTTTCTGTCTGCCGCTGCTCCTTCATTGTCCAATCACAGACAGGGAGATGGGAAGTTGACCAACTGCCATAGAAAAAAGTCAGGTCACCAACCTTGGCAGTGCTGGGGGATATGTAAATTTCAAGACTGGATGGACAGAAATCAATTGGCAGATAAAACAGCTCTATATGCATTAAAGAAGGGGTGCCCATTAGGTCGATCGCAATCCACCAGCCGTTCACAAAGCTAACACTGGTAGATCGCAATCAAGAGTCAGCTTGCTGTCTCGAGCTCCCTCCAGCGCTGCTAGTGCAGCCGCAGTGCTAGCGTGACCAAATGTGTAGCACCGCGGGAGGACAGGACAGCTTGTGTGAGAGAAGAGCTGGGAAGTGCAGGTAAGGAGAGACAGCCACGAGAGAGAGTGAGGAGAGACAGCCAGGGGAGAGAGAGGAGAGACAGCCAGGAGAGAGAGAAGAGAGACAGCCAGGAAAGGGAGCAAGGAGAGACAGCCCGTAGAGAGAGTGAGGAAAGACAGTCAAGAAAAACAGTGAGGAGAGATAGCCAGGAGAGAGAGCGAGAAGAGCCAGCCAGGAGAGAGAGCGAGGTGAGACAGTGAGGAGAGAGAGTGAGGAGAGACAATGAGGAGAGACATCCAGGAGAGAGAGTGAGGCGAGACATCCAGGAGAGAGAGAGAGTGAGGAGAGACAGCCTGGAGAGAGAGCGAGAGGAGACAGCCAGGAGAGAGAGCGAGAGGAGACAGCCGGGAGAGAGAGCGAGAGGAGACAGCCAGGAGAGAGAGCGAGAGGAGACAGCGAGTAGAGACAGCCAGGAGAGAGAGAGGAGAGACATCCAAGATAGAGAGCCAGGAGAGAAAACTGAATTCTGTATTCCAATTATTATGTTTATTCAATAAGAAGATACACGCAGTTGTCCCAGTAAGCAGGCATCCCAACTCTCCCGGACGCTCCGGGAGTCTCCCGCTATTGGATAGCGGCTCCCGGCCGCCCGGGAGAGAAACACTTCCTCCCGGAAAGGTTTATCTGCTCGATCGAGCAGATAAACCTTTCCCTGCGATCGTTTTTTTTTTCTTTTCTGACATCGGGAGCCGCGGCCCGACCGTCAGTCAGAAAAGAAACAAAAAGGCATACGAATCCATAGCTAGATTCTATTGGGTATTGCACTTTGCAATAGCCAATAGCAAACTAGGTAATGTACCCGCCCACTGCTGCTGTCAATCAGCAGAGGGGGACCTGAATTTTTCTATCAGGGGGCGGGTGCAATAGCTAGTTTGCTATTGGCTATTGCAAAGTACAATAGCCAATAGGAATCTAGCTATGCATTCTTATGCCTTTTTTTAAATATTCTGACGACTGCAACTGTCAGAATACTAAAAACAAAATCAGAAAAAAACCTGCAGATAATTAGCTATTGCTTCCTGTGCTATCTGCCATCATTTCAGGGGGGTGCTCTCTCCCAGCCCCCCTAACCCCCCTCCGCGGATGGGGGGGGGGCGTAGAGGGCACCTCCCTGAAATGAGAAGGACACCTCCCTGAAATGGCTTCTTTCAGGTTGGGATCCCTGCAGTAAGCATAGGCCTTGTTCACACCAAATGCAGAGCAGATTTGCTCAGGTTTCTGCACAGGCAGTGCAGTGGGTTGTGCTGCATTTTTTGCCGCGTTTTTGATGCTTTTCGGGCCGTTTTTAGTTTTTTTTAGTTTAAAATGGGCTTTCAGTGTGTTCCAGGGCGTATGCGTGCCTTTTGGATGCCTGCTGCAGTTTTTTTTACCTGCTCTGGACCTTCTCTGGAACTACATTGGACGCAGTGTTGATCCGTTCTGCAACTGCTCTGCTCTGCACCTGCTCCGCGCTTGGTGTGAACAAGGCCTGCATGTGTTTGTTTATAAAATAAAGGTGTTTTTTTGTTGTTGGCAGATCTCATTGAGCTCCTCATTTGTAGATCTTAGCACACATCATTGTGGGCCCCTCTGTATGAAGCTGTTTGTCCAAAGTTTAGTTGTTCAGTTTTATCAGAAAGATGATTGGAAAGAAACCTTTCTTTACCTTCCCAGCACTCGCAATGGCAGTCTAATGTCTGTGGCCGGCTAGTTTTCTGCTTACGTTCCTTTGCATCCTTGTTTCCCCGGCCGGGTCCCGAGTCACGTTTTCCGCATTTCAATTAGAAAATCTATTCCGAGAAGTTGATGTTAAGCTTTGAAGTCGGCTGTTTTGTTTGTTTTTTGTCATCTGGTAGTGAAACCGCTGACAGAATTATGATGAACATTCGATAAGCTGAAATTGTGTGTTTATTCTGCCGACGCGTGCCTCCGAGCGCAGAATAAAAAGAAACACGCGCAAGTCGCTGGTGAAATCTGAAATTAGTTGTCTCATTATTTGTAACACAGGTACGGTAATAAGAAAAATGACCGCGGTGCATAAAGGCTTTGTGAGGAATATTTGATTTCAATCAGCATTTATAGTGCAAATCCACCTCAGTGACAAATACGATTTCTTAGGGAATGCAACAAAAAAAATTGCCAGCTGTGCATGGTATACGTTATCATATGCCCGCATAGGCTCTTGAAGTATCCATTGTACCCAAAGGGAAGTGATGGGATATTGGTGGCCAAGGAGGAGATGTTGGTATGTGGAAGTCAGCGTTCCGAGGACCAGACTCTTTTTAAAAGGAACCTCAGCACTCCTGCTGTGTTGGGATTACAAATACCCTTGGGAGGCATGGCAGAGATTTGCAGTGCCTTGTGGGACTTGTAGTCACACAACAGCCAGGGTTGCCCACCCCTGATCTAGAGTGATCCTTGAAATATTTTATTTTATATAGTGTTCTGCTAAAAATAATTTCATCTACAGTTCACGATACAAGATCACTAAATTGTAGGACCGATATTAGTAGGCTTCCTGATCGCTCGGAGCATGGAGCCGGCTTCCCGCCAATCAGGAAGCCGGGCATCATGTAATGACTCGCTGCCTAGCTTCCTGATTGGTCGGGGAACTGGCCAATCAGGAAGCCGGACAGCGAGTCATTACACGGCGCCCGCCTTCTTGATTGCCCAGAAAGGCTGCTTCATGCTCCCTCGTCACCTTGGCTTCCCAGCCAATCAGGAAGCTGGGCCCCGTGTAATGACTCGCTGTCTAGCTTCCTGATAGGTCGGGTAACTGGCCAATCAGGAAGCCGGGCGCCGTGTAATGACTCGCTGTCCGGCTTCCTGATTGGCCAGTTACCCGACCTATCAGGAAGCTAGACAGCGAGTCATTACATGATGCCCGGCTTCCTGATTGGCCAGAAAGCCCGCTTCATGCTCCCTCGTCACCTTGGCTTCCCAGCCAATCAGGAAGCCCGGCAAAATTTATAAACATCATGGAGCAGCATCCATTCTGTTTTGGTGACCATTGCAACCGAAACAAAATGAGAGGGTTATTCCAATGTTCTAAACTTTTCCCCAGAATAAGAAGTAACGGGAAGTCTTGCAATGGTGACACCTGTGTCAGTGACAACTGTGACAACTGTTCAAGATGGGATTTCCCCTCACTTTGATGAGATTTCCTTCTATTGCCTGTTGCATTTCCTGCACACAGAGAGAAGGGAAGCCTCCCTAAAGGGACATAATTGGCTAACAATAATGGAGGAATCGCGTCAATTTTTTTCGTTCAGCCCGCGGGTTGAACAAAAAAATGTGATAGGTGCATGGCCAGCCTTAGACCAGCCAGCCTTAGACCTATGGATCCCCAATGATCGTGGTTCACCAGCCTCTTCTTCTCTGGCTACAGCAGCTGTAGAAATGACACGCTGAAACTGGAAGTAATGTAATTCACATCACGTCCGCTTTGAGTGATCACAGGGGAGATCAGCCGTGAAAAGTGTGCTGGTCTCCCTCTGATCAATGTACACAGACCCACATCGGGGACAGCGGATCCCAGGATAGCGGGAGGCGGAGGGGGGCTGCACACTCCCACGCACCATACAAGCATTTATTAAGCTATAGAGTCACCAAAGAGTCACCAAACGCGTGTATGTAGCAGCCTTCGCCGGCTGTTTAAAATGCTTGCAGTGTCCTGCTCAAGCGCGCGCTAGGGGGATGAGTGCGAGCAGGAAAAAAAATCATCATGCAAGAGCGAGCTGTCCGTCCATTTATATACAGGCGGACGGCAAGCGGTTAGGTAAGGATAGGTGTTTCCCCGTCCATTGAACGTAAAATTACTTCTGTCCACCTATGACTGGTCTCATGCTGGCCATATGCAAGGAAATGTTGTCAACCTTTCATCAACTTTCCATCATAGCCAACTGCCCAGTATTTCCACCATTCCTCAGTTTAAAACAATCAAAGGTACATAACAGCATTACAAATCATATTTGCAGGCTAAAAGGCATTTTCCGACAATTCTCCATCATGATTCATCGTTTTAATCAAAATCTGGAGAGCTTCTAAAACTGCAACATATTCCCTGGGTGGCCTACCCTGTAAATGGTTTTCTAAAGCGGCAGAGTCGGTGGGAATTGTAGAAAGATTGGACATAAAGATGGTAAATCATCTGCATTTTGATATGTGAAGAATAAACCTCTCACCACGAAAGCAGACAATAAACCAACGTTCTAAATATCTCATTTATTCTTTATGATGAAATGAAAAACTGAAAACTCCCCAATATTTCTGATCGCCTTTTATCTCGGTTGTTTTTCCGCCATATAGATGACAATCACGGCTGCAATCTGCTGGTTGAGAACCCACTTTCTTAAAGGACACGCTTCAGTGAACGCAATTTACACACCTTCCAAGTTTAATTTTTGTTTATTTGACATGCCTTTTGGGTTTATTGTATTTTAATTTATTGCTGAATCTAATACACAGCCCAGCAGAATGCCAATCAATGTCTGTGTATTTACAGATCGGGTTATAATGCTGGCTTGTTTGCTGTAAGAGGGCCCTATAAAGACCTGCCGGGTGGGGATGTGGGCTTGCAGCATATTCCAACTATATGTGGCTGATTTAATAATCTTTCGCCCAGCCATACGTTGTGTGAATGCCACTCACACGGAATCCCTGCCAGTAGATGGAGCCAAGGACCACAGGATATTATTATGCTTCTCAGTTCCATCTAGTAGCGGGAATGCCATATGGCTGGGTGAAAGATTTATAAATCAGCCCCTATAAGTGCAGCCATCCTTCCCCACGGCAGAGAATACCAGGGGTAGGAGGGGAATTTAAAGTGTATGTCAAGCCAAAAGCATTTTTTCTAGTTGTGGAATGAGTGAGAAAGGATAAGAGCCCCTGTCCGGTCTTTTACTGCTATCAGCGTCTGCATCCCTGTGTGTGTTGTAAAATAGCCACCGCTCAAAGCTCAGACCCATAATGGACTACAATCTCATGTTTAGTTCTTTAATTTGTATTGAGATTGTAGTCCATCCTGGGAGCGAGCTTGGAGCGGTGACTACTTTACAACACACACACGGACCATGGGGAACAAAAGTAGCCACCCTCCAGAAGGAAGGACAGTGTCAGCACCAATTCAGAGATGATTGTAGGATCTACAGCCGACTGATACACAAATAATATATATTGTTGTTAATAGTTAAAGTACTTGAATGCATTTTTAAGATTGGGTTGAAAATCTAAAACTCTGGCGCTATGCGAACATTTTATAAATACACCACATGGTGTTGGTCAGCCCCCCCCCCACCCCCCTTTTGTTGCCTATGGCCTGTGATTGCAAAGCCTCTCTGGAAACTGCTTAAAGGAGAACTATGGGGTCAGTGTTTTTCCCCATAGTTCTCCTCAGGGCCACGTGAGGACATAAACTAGCGTCCTCCCGTCACCCAAAGCTCAGTATACCTTGAGCTACAGCTCGCGGTATACTGAGACCGCTGCAGCCGGGACGGATCCCAACATTACTGTCGAGATCCACCCAGCTCTGCCTATCTAGAGGCAAAGCAAGCTGTACCCGACCCCTCCCCCATCCGTTCCGCCAGTCAGCGCTGGAGGATCGGACAGGGGAGGAATCCCTGCAGGGAGCCGTGAGTGACAGTCACGGCTCTCTGCAGGGACAGGATCAAGAAGTGACCGAGCGACGGTATGTGTTCGCTCACTTCCCGATCTATTGAGCCGACCTGTGACATTTTCATCGTCACACGTCGGCTCCAACTATGAGGCTGAGTGAAAATCGCACACCTCATAGTTCTCATTTAAACATGCTTCCTTTGTGCTATGATGCTCTCAAATGATGTCTCTCTATGATGTAGATAGTACGAAGGGGGCTGAGGAACACCTTGGTCGCTGGTAATAGTCGTCTGTGCTATCACATGGGGGCTTGTTAGTTTTCCAAAGCTGATCACTGGACAGCTGGTGTGTGAATAGACGTCCAACATGGTGCTATGCATTTATCAAGTTACACGAGGAAAACGCTCACGGCCGGACCAATTCCAGGACCCAGATCGGCAATGCTCCCACAAACTCCAGCTGACGTCTAACTTTTGAGGTTTTCTTTAGTTGTAGTCAATGGTGCCGGCTCCTAAAAAAAGTCCTGCTGGCTATGGATTGGACAGACTGGCTTTGATTCCCATATTACTTATGATGTGGCTGTTTCATGTTCATTGTGTCATTCATGAGTGAACTTCCACTTTAAAGCAAAACCCCGCTTGACATTGCCGCCTATAACTTCAAATAGATTTCTATAAAAACTGACAAAGATACAACAACAAAAAAAGTCAAATAACGAGCACGGTATATCAGTGTGTCATTACAAAAGTCGCCTTTGTATAAGTTCCTCCAACGCATGTCGCCATGCTGCTGCGGCGGAGGAAACGGTACAGTAGGCAGCCTCTTTACGTGCATCCACAATGCAGCTCAGCACAAGTCTGTTGGCTGGAAACAAAAGGTAATTTGTCATAATTAAAGTTTTGCTGAAATGAGGCACAAACACTTGATGGAGAAAGGATTTTCGATCAGCGTGGGGTATGGAGCTGAGATTTTGAAGGTATGTGCCGATAACGTAGGCTGAACTGTACAGAATAGATATGATTCCTGCTCAGTTTTGCCGCAGTGCAGTCTGATTTAAAGATTTGTCCCTGGAAAAGTCCCTGGTTTTTAAAACCAAAAACAACCTAGTTTTTAAACTTTAACGAAGAACTTCTGAAAATCGAAAAAATAACCCTTGACGTGGGGCTACCCACGCACTGCAAGGGTTACATTTTTATAATTTTTAAAAATAATTGTATTGTAAGCAAATGACACTTGAATAGAATGACGACTGCCAGGGGCAAGATTCCGCAGACGGCAGCTGAATGTAAATACAGCAGGTAGTGGGTGGGTGCAATAGCCAGCCTGCTATTGGCCATTTCAAACTGTAATAGCCAATAGCAGGCTGGCTATTGCACCCACCCACTGCTTGCTGTGCCCTCCTCCCAGCTTGAGCAAAGAAGGAGGGGATCTAACCAACTATTCGATAAGGAGAATAGTTCACAGCTATTCTCATAATCGATTATTATCGATCAGTTGATTCGTTGGTTGCAGCCCTACTTTACAACTCTTTAAGGCTCCGTTCACACATTATTTATATGGCCGAATACGCGGAAATGTTCTAAACATAAAAAACAATGCATTGCGATGTGCATTGTTCAGACTATGGAGGCGGCCGCGCGGTTAGAAACTGCGTGTCCCGCAAAATAGTCCAAGTGTGATTTTTTGGGCAGATTCTGCACTTTCCAGCTACAGCAATGGCTGCAAATGTGCGGAATCCCCGCGTTTGTGAACGTTTGCGCGGTTTCATTGCACGCGGTTTTTCGTGTCAAAAATACTGCACACAAAACGCTACCGCTATGTTTGAATGGAGCTTTAAGTAACAGTCATCAGGTTCAGTGGCGGAACTACCACCACAGAGGCCCATGCTGCCGCGTTGGGGCCCGGGGCAGAGGTTAGTTCTTCCATAGTATACAGTAGAATAGTAATATCAAAATATATATTACAAATCATATATATTGTGTATATTATTATTATTATACAGGATTTATATAGCGCCAACAGTTTGCACAGCGCCTTACAATATAAGGAAGACATTACAATCACAATACAATTCAAGACAAGATGATAAGGAGGGCCCTGCCCCTGAGGGCTTACAATCTAAAAGGGAGAGGCCAGTGATACATGAGGAGGTAACTGTGGGCATGAATTGTTTGAGAATGTGATGGAATATATATATAGATGCCGTGTTTCCCCGAAAATAAGACACTGTCTTATATTTTTTGTGGCTCAAGAAAACACACTAGGTCTTATTTTCGGAGTAGGTCTTATTTTTTGTTTTATGTATAACAATCCAAAGTTAATGCAAATCCAAATGAAATAATCCAAAATGGCAAAGTTAGGAATAGGGTGATCAAGGTAACCAGGGGTGCCGTACGTTTCCAAGAGCAATTTAGTAACCAGAATGAGCGAAGAGAGCTATAGAGGAAACATCGGCTTATGCGGCTCTGCTCCCTGCGCTGCCGCCTCACTTCCTCTAGCGCTGGCTTCGCTGGTACCGCCGATTCTCTCCCGCGCGGCTCTTCAAGTTCCCCCATATGCCACGACCGGCCCTGAGAATGGTCACAACTAGGTCTTATTTTCGGGGTGAGTCTTATATTTGAGCAATTCCCAAAAATGGTACTAGGTCTTAATTTTGGGGTAGATCTTATTTTCGGGAAACAGGGTATATATATATATATTTTTTTTTAAATAAACATGGTATGGCACAAATGTGAAGGAACAATAACAATGGGTTAAGGAGCAGGATAGCCCAGTATATGCCGGGACTTTACATTTCCTTTGTTACCCCAGTAACGTGTATCATATTTTCCTTTACCGGATACATGGTTTCCTCTTGCAGATACTTTTTATATTAAAGTAACAACTTTCTTTCCGTCATACATGTGTAGTCGCTCTCTTATTCTTCTGCTGTGTGTCCTCCTGCGTGTTGTGTGTGGTATGTACACAGATGTCTATGAATGAAAATCCTTTATCACGCTGACGAGTTTACCTTTGAAGCTTCCAAATCAGAAACTAATCAGTGATCTGTTTTCTTGGCAGCAACTGTTCGGTTGTCAGGCTCTGAAGAAGCTGAGCATACCCGATAACGATCTCTCCAATCTGCCGGCCACCATCTCCAGCTTAGTCAATCTGAAGGAGTTGGATATCAGCAAGAACGGTATGTGGACACTTGTCACCTTCATGATATTCTGCACCCTGTCGTAGACAGAATTAAATTCGGTACCACACTTATCCTATGGGGCGAACGGCAGCGACTGAACTGCCGGAGGTTCAGCCCAGCCGATCCAGGTGTTCGATCGGCTGAGTCGAACGGCTTCTTCACTTCGGCTGAACCAAAGCCAGCCAATGCAGGGCTGAGTTTAGCCGATGTACGGCTGAAATCAGACGTACGGGGCAGAAGTGAATAGCTGAATGGTTACTCACGCGGCAATTTAATGAATAACCCCCATAGTGTTTTATTACTACAATCCGTAACATTGTTCCTTTTTAGTTGAGCCAGGGAAATAGAATGTTCTGGTATTAATAGCCAGGATGATTAATCGGTCCACATTTAATCTAATCTCAATTTGATTGGTCGTCCGGAGTCATCAGTCCGATGGGAAGATCAGCGAAACAACATCACAGCCCGAACAATTATAAGAGAGCTTGACCGAGTGCGGTGGTATTGCCGCGCTCTTCAGCGGTGTCACAAAAAAGGAATGTATCCGTCCTTCTGTTCCTTCCCACTCATTCCTCCTCAGCTATGAGTCGACGCCATCTACATTTTATTGCGCCTATTTTTAGACTGCGATCAATCCTGACAAGAGACTCGCGAATTCGAAGGGGTTTTGGGTTATCAGAGTTCACTGCAGCTCCGCGTTCATAGATCCTCCGAGAGGAGAGCCACCTGTCCCTGGGAGTCACACACTTTCTTTTAACCCCTTAATTTCCTATAAGGAGAACTCCGGGAACGTAAAAAGTTAACCCTTGCAGTGCGGCTATCCCCACATTGTAAGGGTTATCTGCCTGTTTTTCTCTAGGGGCAGGAATACAGTAGATATGCTCACCTGATCCTCTGTCCTGCAGCGGCAACCGGTCACCTCTCTTCCCCTCCACTCCGGCTGTGGTATGTCCCGTGGCCTGTCTAATTCAGCTGTATTAAAAGTAATGACATCACGGGTCCTTAGGCCGCCACAGACCAGGGGAGATGAGGCTGGAGGACCGGTCTAGCAGCCAGGACCAATGATCGGGTGAGTGAATTTTCTTTGTCTTAGCCCCTAGACCAAAATTAGAATTTAACCCTCGCAGTACAGGGGTAGCCCCATGACAAGGGTTAGTTTTTACATTCCTGGAGTTCTCCTTTAAGCTAGCACCTGAAACAAAATTTCTGCTAGGTAATAGATGTAGATCTAGACAGCACTTCCATTAAAAGCTAATTAGATCTTTTGTGTTCCAAATTCTTCTTTAGTGCAGACCTGTACACTCAAAAATCCAATTCTATAAATGCATCCCGCTATGTATGATGATTAATAATAACATAGACACGTCAGGTGTAGAATGATGCGATTATTAAATACTTACACTTGCAGAACATTCACTTCCTGCATAGAAAGGGCAAAATTACTTCAGTTTGGCAAAGCAATGCACACTGGGATTGCCCTGTCATCAGCAGAGCATTGCTGCTCTCATCTGTATTCTCAGGAGATCTCAGGGAACAGCATTTTCCTCCCCTGAGATGATGTGCATGGTCACATGTCCTAGTCACATGTCTAGTCACATGTGCCAGATACCCAGGAAGTAAAAGGAGAGCTAGTAATCTGCCTTATGCTGGGCACACACCTTACAACCATCGCAAGACTTTTGTCTTGCGATGGTTGTAAGCTACTTAAAAAAACGTACGATCTGCCTATCTTGGACAGGTAGATCGTACTTGCGATGATCGCAAGACGCGCCCCCTGAGGGGCGGGCTTCCGATGACCGCAATGCCGAACAGGCAGTGTGCGCTTGCGCACACCGGCCCGTCCGGCTTTTATCTTACGAATATGCTACACACCCGCCGAACATCGTACGATGCTCGGCGGGGTTTCGAACATGTTCGTAAGTTAAAAGTCGTGCGACCGTAGTAGAGGTCGCACGGCTTCCACACACCTTAAGATAATCGTACGATCGCGGGATTTCCCGCCATTATCGTATGATTATCGTAAGGTGTGTGGGCACCTTTAGTAAACATGGCCACTGCCAGAAGACTAGGGAAGAAAATAGAAACAAGGTATGCAAAGAATACAAAGCCGGCAATTATCTAGAAGTATGTGTGTGTAGATTGTAATTACTAAACTTTTATAAAGGTGTGTTTGTTGTTATTTTAAAGATATTAAAAATGCTTTAAAGTGCATCTACACCAAAACACAAAATGTAACATATGCAGCTTAAATCCTTAACTGTAGCAGCTGAATTAGTTTTCATTTTCAGACTTCTTTTTCTTTATTTTTTGCAATCCTATCCTAGGGTGACAACGCTCACTCACTGCACTGTATCTATGGAGGAGCAGATTTGTCACCCTAGGCTGCTCTCCTGATTTTGACTACCAACACCTCCCCCTCTCTTCATCTCTTTACTACATTGGGAGAAGGGGTTCTGTAGCTTACAGAAGAAACTGTACCTGGGAAAGTTGATGACATTGTTTGTGGTTTCAGTCCAGTGCACAGGTAGTTACAAACACACTGGAATTCTGGCAGCATCAACAGGTATTTTTTACCCTTTGCAGATGTAGTAAATGTACTTCATAAAAATCTAAGAAATACCTAATAATTACTAAATATTATTGCTACATAATGATCAATATTAAGAAATAAAATGAATGCGGCCTCCACATCTAAGGACTAATATAAAGCAATTTGTTTGATTTTTGTTCTTGGGTTTGGCTATCCTTTAACTCCTTTAATGTCTTTTTAGGAGTATTATAAAACGGTTGTTGTTTTACTTTGTTTTGTTGCTTATCTATAATATTGATTTTTTTTCTAGGTATACAAGAATTCCCCGACAATATAAAATGCTGTAAATGTTTAACGATAGTTGAAGCCAGTGTCAATCCCATATCAAAGTAAGTGATATAAATATAAAAGTATATAAGTAACAAGATCTGTTATATCTTGTATGTATAGATCTGTTATATCTTGTATGTATAGACCTGTTGTATCCAGTATGTATAGACCTGTTGTATCCAGTATGTATAGACCTGTTGTATCCTGTATGTATAGATCTGTTATATCTTGTATGTATAGACCTGTTGTATCCAGTATGTATAGACCTGTTGTATCCAGTATGTATAGACCTGTTGTATCATGTATGTATAGACCTGTTATATCTTGTATGTATAGATCTGTTATATCTTGTATGTATAGACCTGTTATATCTTGTATGTATACAGGTGAAACTCGAATAATTAGAATATCGTGCAAAAGTAATTGCAGTAAGTGCTGCAAAAGGGGCCCAAACCAAGTACTGAGTACATATGCATGCTTGTACTTTTCAGAGGTCCGATATTGTTCTATGTACAATCCTTGTTTTAAAGACCTGTTGTATCATGTATGTATAGACCTGTTGTATCCTGTATGTATAGACCTGTTGTATCATGTATGTATAGACCTGTTGTATCTTGTATGTATAGACCTGTTGTATCTTGTATGTATAGACCTGTTGTATCTTGTATTTATAGATCTGCTGTATCCTCTATGCATAGATCTGCTGTATCCTCTATGCATAGATCTGCTGTATCCTCTATGCATAGATCTGCTGTATCTTGTATGTATAGATCTGCTGTATCTTGTATGTATAGATCTGCTGTATCCTCTATGTATAGATCTGCTGTATCCTCTATGTATGTATTATATATACATTGTAATATTCTGAATTCAATTATTAAAGTGAACCTGTGCTTAGCCGTGCAGGGAAAAGGAACAGGATCACTTCACGTTAGACCTCCCCAGCAGCATACTCTCACCTTTCTTTGGCATGCCAGCCAATGGCTACTAGACATGTAAGCGTCGGAAAAATTTGGTTCGGATATTTCGTTACTTCGGAATTCAGATTCGAAATTAAATTCAGTTTGGGTTTCTAATTGGGGCGAAATCCGAATTGTCAGTAGATTCGGATGAGTTTACGCATACCATATACAGATAATAATACTAAAGCTGGTGCTCCTAGACCCGACTGGCATTCGGGATCCAAATTTCCGAATTGCATTCGGGAGCGCCGGAATGCCATTCGGGTTTGGGAGCCTCAGCTTTATAAATATATATGGCTCCCAGACCCGAATGGCATTTGGGATCCAAATTGCCTTAGCCTTAATCGCCTTAGCTTTAGTAATATATGTAAATGGCAATTGGCAAGGGCAATTGCAACCAATTTTAGTTTACATGGCTGGAATGGAAAGTGGAATAGCTCGTTCTGGCTTCTATGTTTGAGACTCTTGGTACCATCCAACTGGCTTAACCATCACAAAACCAGAAAATAGTGCGATGTTCCTCCAGTGGATTGTCTATGTCAGAGGTCAGAGAAGGTCAGAGATGGGAATAACTGCACCAAAAACATGGCTTGGACTTTACATGTAGTCATTGTGGGAGGTCCTGGGATACACTAAACAGTGGTGTTTAGCTGTTTCATATTGAGGAAAATCTTAGTTCATATGGAAAATTCTTACCAAGAGGTCCATTGTCTGTAATGTACATATTGACTGCGTTCCTCTAGCAACTGAAGAACAACAACTCCCATCAAGCCCAGACACATTTAAGGACTTAAAGTTCTTTAAAGCTGAACTCTGGCCTCCCCTTCCGTCTTGCACAGTTGTACCAGCTCCAGGCCTGAAATGGTTTCCTCTGATTTCACTGCACACTGTGACCTTTTCTGCATTAGAAGCTGTATCAAATCAGATAAACCCGCCTCATTTCCTGGCTGGAGAATGTTCAGCATCTTCTAGCCCTTTCCTCCCCAGCCTGACTTTCCCCAGCCCGCCATTTTCATTCATTGATTGCAATCAGCATCACATGCAGGCGTTACTTAGGGCACTCTGCATGCAAATGCAATCTGCCTGGGAACACCCACTCCTCCAGAATGACACCTACCCATCAAGGCATTTTGATATTTGCATAGCTCCTCCCAAGAGCCAGCCCTCCGAGGGCTCTTGAGAGGAATACTGTTGTAATGTCCCCCCCTTCACCCCCTCACCACCAGCCATGACCTGCCAGCATTGCATAGAGAAATAAGAGACCCAGTGATGACATCACTAAATCTAAAACAATGAAAGCAGAAAGGTTGTATTCACACATTTCATTAACATATCGATTAGAGGGAAAACAAGGAACAAGGGAAGGCAAAATATAAGCAGAATAAACTTCAGCTGGAGGTCTGTTAGCTGCTCCGATCCATCTTACGAGCCAATATAAAAACAATTTACTGTTCTTGAGACAAGCTATTTATGAAGCAGGCTGCGGTGTTAACCTCACGGATAAATAGCGGAATCTTTAATAAGAGCTATTTTTATCCAGCGAGGCCTGACAGGGTGATGTAGACTAGATTGATGGCGCTCTTGGAAGGTGCAGGCCATCCCTCTCTACCTTCTAGATAAGATCCAGCCGGGTTTGTACCAACAGGGAGGTTGTGTACTATTTATAGTGCATGCCGGGCTCACATCTGTTCCATCCGAGCCGTGCTTATTTCATCCTTAATTACATGTACGGCTGTGTTTAGATTTGTGACATGGAATGAACCTTATAATTACTGTAGGCGTTATATATATGATAGAACATTACCCATACCTTCACCATTGGCGCTTTGTATCTCAGCATCTTCATTCTGGGTGGTGCACAGCAGGTCATGGCAGCTAAGGGGGGACGGGGACGCTGGATGAAGCAATAGAAGGGGACACTTTTCCTCCATGATATAAAGAAGAACTCCAGACAATCTATAAATTAACCCTTGCAGTGGGGCTAACCCCAGACTGCGGGGGTTAACTGCACATTTTGGTCTAGGGGCTACAATAACGCAAATATACTCACCTGATCCTCAGCCCTGCAGTGGTGACTGGTCACCTCTCTGCCCTCCGCTCCGGCTGTCATATGTCCCCCGGCGTCCTCATGTCCAATGCAGCTGCATTAGGCATGATGACGTCATAGGTACTTAGACCGCCTGAGCCCTTCTGGGCCGAGGATAAGGTGGGTAGATTTTCTTTAGTTTCACCCCTGGACCAAAATGAACACTTAACCCTTGCAGTTTGGGGTAGCCCCACTGCAAGGGTCAATTTTTAGATTGCCTGGAATTCTTCTTTAAAGTTTATGTAAACTAGGGATGCACCTATAACGGTTTTTCGGTATCGGGTACGAGTACCGATATTTTGCTTTTCGATACTCACTCTCTTTTCTGTGTAGAAAAGGAAATTAGTACGTCTCTATATGAGAACCATTTTTAATCCTTTGACCAGATCAGACAGAAGATCGGCGTGTGTCATGTTGGCACTGTGATTTGGTTTGGGATGGGCAGACATTTCAGTAAACCCGTGTCCAGGTCTAAAAATGGACAACTAACCCGGCCTGTCATCCCTCTGGCCATTCTTTACCAAATCTATTAACAAGCATACAAGGCACAAAGGGCTTCATTTATAAAAGTTCCACCTGGCATATAGCACTAGCACCCCTAGATGGTGCTGGCGAGTATTGGAATTTCCAATAACCATCAGCGCCATTTTCCAATAACCATCAGCGCATTAGTGTCATGTGAACATCACTGGGCAGAACTTTTATGAATGAAGCCCAGAGTATCATTTGTGATTCTACACCGGTATCATTCACCTATTCATTTCCTTCTTCTTTTCTTTTTCCAGGCTACCGGATGGCTTTACTCAGCTCCTTAATTTAACTCAGCTGTACCTTAATGATGCCTTTCTTGAGTATCTTCCTGCTAATTTTGGAAGGTGAGCAGAAACTGTGATTTAAAGGGATAATATTGTGACATTATTTAATAGGAGCTGTGAACCTGCTGATCATTCCTATTTATAACCTTCCACTTTTCCTGAATGGGTGAGTCAACGTGCCTTGCTGCTAGAGTATTTATATTTATAATCACATTGTGTGAGTGTTACATTTAACTTGGGGGTCAGTCATCAATATTTAAATAATCTGCTCTCAATAATTATATAAACCAATAATAATTGATCCTTCTGATCTGTAAACCATGTGACCTCTTCATTCCTTCTACAGTATAGCAGAGCTTGCCACATAAGTGAAATTTTGGTAATATTGACAAATATACACATGGCAAGGATTTAGGCAGACCTTACGAAGAGCACACTTAATTCCTATGCTCCTCAGCTCCATCCAGTGACACGAATGCTGTGCGAATGGCATGAATATGTGCGAACGGCATTCAGCCACCATATGGCTGAGCGGATGATTTATGAATCATTCCCATAGCATCAGATATTCAATTCTCTGTGCAGATATGGAAGTTGTTAAACATATTACCTACACTGCCTGGCCAAAAAAGTCACACACTCTAATATTTTGTTGGACTACCTTTGGCTTTGGTTACAGCACACATTCGCCGTGGGATTATTTCGATAAGCTTATGCAATGTCTCAACATTTATTTACGTCCAGTTGCATTAATTGTTCACCAAGATCTTGTAGTAATAATGGAAGTTACATAGTTAAGTCAGGTTGAAAAAAGACACAAGTCCATCGAGTTCAATCAATACCGTAGATATGTAATAGTCTTCTTCAGCACACCCAAAGATTCTCAATCGGGTTAAGGTCTGGACTCTGTGGTGGCCAATCCATGTGTGACAATGATGTCTCATGCTCCTTGAGCCACTCTTTCACAATCTGAGTCCCATGAATCCGGACATTGTCATCTTGGAATATGCCCAATGTGCCATCAGGAAAGAAAAAATCTATTGATGGAAAAACCTGGTCATTGGGTGTATATAGTGGGTGTGTTATGCACTCATACCAGTTTTTCGGTATCGAGTATGAGTACCAATATATTTTTTCCGGTACTCGCCGATACCGAATACCGATACTGGAAGTCCCATTAAGGAAGCCGGGTGGCGTGTAATGACTCGCCCCCTGGCTTCCTAAATAGCCGGGAAGCAGGGCTCTTATAAAGACTCGCCACCCGGCTTCCCGATTAGCAGGGAAGCCATCTCCATGCTTCCTCATCACAAGGTGACGAGGAAGCATGGAGCCGGCTTTCTGGCCAATCACAAAGCCAGGGGGTGGGTAATGACTCGCCGCCTGGCTTCCTGATTGGCCAGCTTTTCGACCCGCGGGCAGCGAGTCATTACACAGCGCTCGGCTTCCTGATTGGCCCGGGAACTGGCTCTATGCTCCCTCGTTACCAGGTGACGAGGGAGCATGCAGCCGGCTTTATGGCCAATCAGGAAGCCGGGGGGTGCAGTAATGACTCGCCATCCAGGTTCCTGATTGGCCAGCTTCCCGACCAATCAGGAAGCCAGGCGACAAGTCATTACACGCTGCCCGGCTTCCTGATTGGCCGGGAAGCCGGCTCCATTCTCCCTCGTGACGAGGGAGGATGGAGCTGGCTTCCTGGCCATTCAGGGAGCCAGGCAGCGTGTAATGACTCGCTGCCCGGCTTCCTGATACTGGAAGTTCCGGTATCGGGCTAGGCATCGGAGCATTTGGGCGAGTACGAGTACTTGCCAAATTACTCAGTATCGGCACCGATACTGATACTAGTATCAGGTATTGGTGCATCCCTAGTCTTTAGATAGGCAGCTGACCACATTTTTTGGGCACAGAAGGTTGCTGAACCTAGACCTGACCAACTGAAGCAACCCCAGATCATAATTCTGCCCCTAAAACAGGTGGTGACTTTCTTTTTTTGGGGGCAGTCAGTGTATTTGTGTGCATTTGTTCAGCGTAGCGCTTCACATGTATGTAATGTTTAGGGTTGCACAGATACCAAGTACAGTACTCGGTACAAGTACGAGTACATGTACCGATACTTTTGAGCTCCAAGACTACACTAGAGAAAAATTCAGAAGTTAGGAGTCAGCTGTCATTTGTAAGGATCACACGGAGCTCCAGGGATTTCTACATCTCTGTTTTAATGTATGATTGTGTTTTTATAAATATAAATAAAGGGATGCACAGATACCAGTTTTGCGAGAACGAGTACTGGTACTTGCCGAGTACTTACAAGTACGAGTAAGAGTACTGATACACTTTTGTTTATTGTCATGTGACAGTTTTTCTAAAACAATATCGACTAATGATTTCAGGACAGTGCTAGGTCCGAGCTGCCACCGCTGCAACCGCTGCAACACTGGTAGTTCTCATGAAAATGCCAAGTATCTGCACTGGTACTCGAAAAGTATCCGTGCATCCCTAGTAATGTTTATCGTTTAAGGTTTACTGGTCCTTTAATGTTTGCAGAAAAAAAAATCCCTGTTCAATCCATCTGAGCTATAATATGCAATTAGGGGAAGATTAATGAAGCACAAGAAATGGAAACATAGCTCCCCATTCTCGTTTGGGAACAGCTGATATTTTTATCTCGTGATTTATTGGTGTGTCACTTTCTAATTTTCTACATTACTTTAACGCTTTCAAAGTGATAACTGGGCACAGCCACCGCTGAGCAATGCAAATCGCTGCAGGGCGGTAAGCAGCCTCGGAGACCGGAGATGACCCTCACGGTGTTCACCAGCCTTCAACACCTATATTCACATTACCAGTTTATTACAGGCACAGACATTGCATAATTTGCAGCCACACAGATATATTGTACATAGGAGACTTATGCTTCTGTCCAACCAAAAATTAGTTATTGGTGGAACCTGGTGGTCTGAGTCCGCCACTGGGTTCCTATATGTATTGGGTGCTCCTGTAGCAAGATCTCCCTGCCATGATTCCTGATTTGGTTTCTATCCACCTGGGAAATTTGGGCGTAGCCTTAGCTGAACCCTAATACCTAATCTGATCCACGAACCTAACGCTAACACTCAACCTTCCCCTTAAATTAACTCTCAACTCCTAACCTGAACCCCACTTCTTGCACTTGCTCAAACCTCTAAGACAAGTTTTGAAAATAGCATCTAACACATAATTTAACCTTAATGACTTAAACTCCTTACTCTTGACGTCAATGCTAACCTAAACTTTAATGGTGCAGGACATATGTTGGAGATGTGAGAGGGAAAGAGTTACGTACCTGCATATATAGTGGGACTGCCCCCCCCCCCCCCCGCGAAGACCACCCTCATTTCTGGGTGTTCT